GAGGCGATTCGCCAGCAGGGCTATCCCCCGGCTGTGTGGTTACACCAGGGGCGAGGCGCTTGGTGCCTCAGTTTCCCCAGTAACACACAGATCTGCCCTGCCACCAGGCACATTGTGCTGGGGGCCACAGACACAAGCCACAGCGCAGTACTGAGACACGTGTTGCCCTTGGACTTGGGCTGGGGCTGGCCTGGCCGATGTTGTGGGGACAATGTCTCAAGCCCAGAAGGAAAGTGCCCTTGGGACATGTCCCACCTCCAGCAGATGGGTATCTGGAAGCTGGTTTTGGAAGGCAGCGAACACCCAGCATCTCTGCAGGCTCTGGCCAGGGAAGTGAGGGTCCTGGTTCCTCCTGGAGATGAACAGATTGAGTGCAGGACTGCCTTTGGTCCAAACCTGGATTGTGAAATGCATCCTGCCTCTGCAGGGCAAGGGAAGACCACAGCACGCTCAAGGAGCATCCACCTCCAGCCTTAACCTCTTAGGACAGTCCTGTGCTTTGGTGTTGCCTTCAGCAGATGCAACTGGGGTAGCGTCTCGGCCAGTGGAGCAGCCACAATACCTCTCCCCACGCTGCCTTCGCCGGCACCAGGTTGTCACCCCACTATGCTGACGTGAGCCCCAGGCAACTGCCAGGGCATCAGGGCTCTCCAGTGTGGCACCGTGGGGCCAAAGCAGACGCTGTCCTGGGGTATCGCAGCACCGGGGAGGTAAGGCCCAAGAAACCTCATCGCTCCCCGGCTGGAGCAGGGCTGTGGTGGCGTGCCCAGCGTTCCTGCCGCCTCTCCTTGGCCGGCAGAAAGCTCAGGGCCCTGTGCAAGCAGGAGCGGGCAGGCTGCCAGCGGCCGCCTCGCATTAATGGCTTTCAGTCTTGGCAGCATCCCTGCCTCTACCCTGCCTTTCACGCTTCAGGCGCGGCTGAATTCAGGCACGTTGCGGCTGAGCTCGGATCGATGGGAGAATAAATCAGGGCGGTGTGGGAGCCCGTTTCTGGACCGCGGGAGCATGGCAGGCTGGCAGGAGGGCTTTCCCCTTGCTGCGTGCTGCCGTGCACGAGCGCCACGCGCTCTCCCAGGGTTATGTTGATCTGTACTGTCATGTGTGGGAAACAGCCGGGCTGCCCCCAGGCTGTGTTGGGCATCACCCTCGCCTATAAAATGTGATAGAAAAGGATACGATTCATGTGCAGGCACCAGGGTCTGTGCCCCGGCATGCCATGCCACGGCTTGGGTGAGGGTCTCATTTTTTGCTCAGTCCTTTAAAGCCCAATCTGCTGCATGGAGTGGGATAATAACCCGCAACAGGGGGATCTACAGGGGTGTGAGGCAATGCAGACACTGTGGGGCTGTGCTATCCTGTAGCTCCGTTGGTCTCCTGCTTTTGGGTCGAAGATGTCCAGGGTGAGCCTCAGCTGGCTGTGCAGGCAGGGGTGCAGGCAGCTCCCTGGCCCCAGGCAGGCCATGCAGGGCAGACGCTGCCCGTGCGAGCGTACCTGGGCTGCTCGCCCTGCGCCGCTGGCTGCGGGCGGGCGTCCCTCGGCTGCCCGCCCTGCGCCGCTGGCTGCGGCTGCAGCTAGAAAACAGCCGAGAGTTTCCACCCTGCCGAGCATTTGGATGCTCCCCCACTTCCAACCGAAGCCGAGTGCTGGAAGTCTGCACTGAGCATTACTTATGGATTTACTCATAAAACATTTATCACTGCAGGGAAATTCCTGTCTTGAAGCTGTGTGTCTCCTCTGGGCTGTGAGGGTGGAAGCGCAGAGTTTGCCCCATTTTGGAATGAGATGCCTTGGACTGGGAAGAGGTGTCCAGGCTGGTTTTTAGGCAGCGGGAAGCCTGCTTACCGGGCAGGCAGCTCATCGTGGGGTGAATGATGGAACGAATCAGTCCCCTGTGATTTCTGTATGCCTCTAGTGTGGCATTAATCGGCAGCCCGATTAGCCCAACTCGTAATTAAATCCTATTGATTAGCTAAATGTCACTGGCACAGAGAGCAGCTGGCAGCAGCTGGGATGCAGAGGGGCTGTCGGTCTCTGTAGGATTGCAGCAGGGATGTTGATGTTGGGTAGAGGAAGGGAAAAGATGATGCGCTGTCTCGGCTCCATCTCCCATGCTGTGATGCACAGGACCATAAACTGGTCCTGGCAGGAGGACCAGTTGGAGCCGGGGCTGTGCTGGCTGAAGCCAATGGGAGACTGCCCCCGTGTACGAGCCCTGTGGTCCTCCTCTGCCTCTCAGCTCCCTCGGGGCAGCTTTAGGCTGGAGGTCCCTCTGTGCAGCAGAAGCAATGGCGCCGGTCACCCTGTGGGTCCCCGGGGGGAGTGAGGTCCCGGGGGAGCACCTTTGTGGGGTAGAGTCATCGGGGCTGCTCTCATGTTAAATTCGGCCCTGTGCCAAACTCGTATTGAGTGACATGGGAGGGAGGTAGACGTGACATTAGGAGCCATTTTCCAGGCCCCTGTCACTCTATCTTCCATAGCACATCTATTAAAAAAGCCTTTAATAGCCTCCTCAGAAGGTAATTTAATTGAACTGAATTGATGGGTGAATTACAGAGCTGCCTGTCTTTCTCCATCCATTTTCATGGGAATTTGCTTGCTTGCTTCTGATCTCATTTGCCACGCAGCATCAGGCAGGTGGGACACCTCCACCCCAGGAGCCTTTGCTGAGCTGAGAGCAGTTTGTATGCCCGGCCGGCCGGATCCCCTCCAGAGCCTGGGCACCAGCCCAGCCCCTTGCCTCCCTTTCTGCCCGTGGAACCGCAGCCGATACCACCACCTTCCTCCCATCCTCCGTATCTGCTGCCTTCCTCTTTCATTGGGCCAGGGACATCACTCGAGAGGCACTGCAGTTAAAGCAGAGCCGTTTAGCCTGCATTCGCTGCTGATATTTTTATCCTTTTGGCTCTGCTTTAGAAGCAAAATCCTCTTTGCTGGGCACCAGTTGGTCTGGCTTGCCCCGGGGCAGCACGCCGGTCTCCAAAGCAGAGCCCTCACCAAGGTCAGGAGCAGCTCAGACCCTCGACCGAGTTGTGCCAATCCAGGAGGGGTGGGACGGGGGCATCCCGAGGGGCCGCCTTGCTGCTGTGTGCTAAGCTGGGTGCGTTTTTTCATACATGTAAAGTATGGAAGTGATTTACCCCAGCATTTCCCGCACTGATTTGCCCAAACCCAGGCCTCGATCATTACATTTTCGTTGCACGCAGCTTTTCCACCAGCAGCCCGTACAAATGCTTTCCTGCCAGGTGGATCCCTGGCAGCTGCACACGCTCATTAATCCTGGGCACCAAATACTCCGCTCGTCACACACAGGGCATGACGAGTCTTTAGCAGCACCCAGTCTGGTTTCCGTGCCCGACCTGGAGCCGGGTTTGGATGCATACCTCTGCAGAGAAACCCTCCTCTGATTCGGGCAGAGGATTGCCTTCAGACAGCCGAGAAATAACTCCTGCAGGGATCCCGCAGCCAGGCTGGAAATAATCCAAGGACTTTCTTGATGTAGCCATTATCATTCCCACTTAGGACTGGTAAAAATTAGGCTCCATTTTTCATGCTCCTGTGTTGCTTCCCCTACCCCGTGGATTTGTTTCCATGCAGTCTGTGCAGTTATGGCTTTGGTCTGGATTTGCGCATCACCCTTGGATAATTTTCAGCCCGCTGGTTGTTTAGAAGAAGAGTAAGGTTGTCTCCTCCCTCTGCCCGAAGCAGGATTGACTCCAGAGCATCGCTATAACAAACATGATCCACGTCATCCTTTAAGAGCTATGAGGGTCTGGTAGAAAATCCATCACTAATGAACGCAGCAAGTGTTTCCTTGCATTTGTGCTCTGGTACCCCCCGATTTCCATGCAAACGTCGCGGCAGTCGGCTGGCGACGGCCTCCCGCTGGCCTGAAAGCTGTTCTTCCTTCAGCTGTGCCTTAATAACGAAGAGTAGGTAGGTGCTATCACACCCTCTGGGAGTGCTTAAAAGTAACGCCACAACAGCAGAGGTGTGTGTTTGCTCATAAGCAATTATTAAATGACAAAACCTTGTAATTTTAAACCTTGAAAATCGCTGTGCTGATTTACTTAACCCCAGATTAATTGTGATCAGGGTGTCGGAGTCAGCTGCTGGAAGAGTGGAGAGATGCTTTGCGGCCAATGCCAAGTGCGGGTGAGAAGTCTTCCCGCAGCTCCTCCTCGGCACAAACCCCAGATGACATTTGAGTGCTGAGCGCACTCAGCTTTGGCTGCACAGCCCAAGTCCTGCACCAACCACGCTCTGCTCCTTCCCCAGTCTTGGGGAAACAGTGCAATTACTCCATGGACTGATGACATCCCGGGGAAATGGGCATCAGTAGATGGGCTCAGCGAAGCCACCCTGCCTGCCCAGCATCTCACTGTTGTCCTAACTCCTGCTTTTTGCTGTTTCCTCTCCAGGGCCTGAAGCCCATGGACCATAATGGTTTGGCAGATCCATACGTCAAATTGCACTTGCTTCCTGGAGCCAGTAAGGTGAGACACCTTTTCGCTTCTCCTTCCTTTCCTGGGGCTGCACCTTTCCCTTTGAAACCAGGCCCTGGAGGTTCCCCGGGGAGAAGCTCTTCCCCAGGGGCTGGTGGTTGCTGCAGCCAGACCTCAAGTCTCCTGCCTGGCCCTCAGTCAGGTGAGCAGGAGAGAGCGGCAGCAGGAGGTAGGAATTGGGGCTAAAAACATCCTTGCAAGGGTAGCAGGTGCCTCTCCAATAAACCACTGCCCGGGAGCTGAGTGGGAGCAGGGGGTGCGAACCCTGCACTTCGGAGGCCCCCGGGAAGCACCGAGTGAAACAATCTGGAGCTTATAAAAAAAAACAGCGCTTTTTTTTTTTTTTTTTCCTTTTTCTTTTGCATTTAATACCCCTCAGATCATAATAAAGCAGAGTATAAATCGTAAGGGAAATATTTCCATCTACTTGGGTTCAGCGCTTGCTCGAGAGAAGAGTAATTAAAGATATTGATGTGTAGTGAGAGCTTAGTGTAACTGATGGGGATGTTGAATTTAAATGCTAAATGTATGTGTTATGAATATTAATTGCACTCTTATTTTACACTAAAGGAAAGACCTTTTGGGGGGAGGTATATTTACTTGTTACGGTTCAGTTGAATTAATTCATAATGTTCAGGGCGGTAGAGGGAGTTTTTAACCACATTTCAAGTTCTGCTGGAAATAGGAAAGCCAGGAGCACTTTCATCAGCGATATTATCTGTCATTTCCATGTTTTGCAAATGCATTGATTAGCATTTCTGCTGGAGGTGATGGAGACCAGAGAGGCGGGAGGGAAGCTCTGAGCCAAGGGTAGCGCAGGAGCTGCAGATTACACAAGGCAGGAGCAGCCGCAGGGGGACCCTCTCCTTGTCCCCACGTCCCTCTGCCTCTGTGGGTGCTCTGTCTCTGTGCCTTGTTTCCAAACAGCACTGCCCGAATCTGCTCTGGGAGAGGTGAGCAGAGGTGGGGGGATCGCAGATGTTTCCTGGGCTGGATGTTTCTGCCTAACCGTTCCAGCAGCAGGATGATCCCCTGGTCCCTCGGGTGTTTCTGTCCCAGTTTCGGCTCTTGGGCACCTGTGGCAGAGCCCAGGCCAGAGGCGTGGGAAGCAGGGTGGGATTCGTTCGCCTCATGCACGGGTCTCCACATGAGCTGGTTATTCACTGTTAAGTCATTCCAGGTGGGAGAAAAAGGCACTCCCAGAGTTCAGTTCCTCCAATTTCATTTGTGTCCCTTGCCCAGGGCAGCGTTAGCTGCTGGGTGATGCCCATCACATTACCCTCTTGGATGAAGCCACTTTCCTTCCTGAAATTAGGATCAGGCACCAGCAGGTCTGAGCACACAGGGCGCTTTCCCTGCTGTCCTTGTCACCCCTCAGCAGGCTTTATGCTCCCTCTCTGATACATATCTTGCTGCTCAGGCTGGAGCCTGGCGCGATGGCCACAATATCACCGAGGAAGGAGATAAAGTAGGTGCGGGATGAAACCTGGGATGACAAAGTGCCTTGTTCAAAGCAACTTTACAAAATCAGGAAAGATTTAAGGCAAATGAGGTATTAAATCAATGGCGACAGCAGGCCATAAATGACCGCACCCGTCTGCAGTCTCCTTCGGTTTGCATGGCTCTGCTGTCACCCCTGGCCATGCCTCTGGGCACGCAGGGATGGCCTCGGCGAAGCCGGTAAGTGGGAGCAGCCGTGCTGGCTGCCCCTGCACAGCCCGGCCGGCGCCTTCTCCTCCTGCGCTGCAAACGAACTCCCCGCCTGATTGACATGGAAAGCGATTGGCGTTGCAGGGCTTTAGATGCTGCTGCTAATTGAATCCCTGCCCCTGAGTCCCCATCGGCTCCTGGAGCTTCGCGCCTTGCTCCGGGGTTATCCTCCTGCTAACCCGGCGCTCGGTGTTTCGCAGCTCCTCGCACAGCCGTCGCAGCACTGCACGGGTTTCTTTCAGAGGCAGAAATGGCTTTGGGAAGCTAAATGAAAACGCAGCACAAAACACAGAGGCTTTCTCTGTCTCCAAGCGATCACACCCAGAGCAAGCAGCTGCTTTGCACAAAGTGTTTGGGAATGAGATGCTGTGCCGTGGTCCCTTGATGGCTCTGCTGCACCAGCAGCTCCTCCAGCCAGTGGCCATGTCTAATGGATCAGGAAGAGGTTGCCTGTTTGGGGTGGTTTTGGTGGGGAAAGGATGTGCCAACAAGGTGAGCCTCTCTTAGCTGCAAGCACAAGCTCTTTTCTTCACGCCATGCTTCTCATCCCGCTCGCCTCTAGCTCAGGGCTGGTAAACCAAAGATGGGGAAGGTAACAGCTTCCCATAAAGACACACGAGACAACTTTGAAGTGTTGATTTCCCAAGAGTTCTGTGTTCCCAGCAATGGCTGAGGCAGGGATTGAACTTTCTGACTTTACACCTAATTAGAGGGAAAATTGCTGCTCTATCAGGCTGTCCCAGGCTGGGGGGGGCTGATGAAGAAGCCCCATCTGAAGCCTGCAGCCCTTTGCTTCTGCTCTCCCTCTGTCCCCAACAGGAGCGGGTAACTCAGGGGGTAAGAAGATTAATGTCCCCCAACCTGGGGGGGGGCTGTGCCAGGACGCCCCATCCATGCTGGGGACACAAGCGGCTATGACAGCCCCGCTGTCCCCGGCCTCCTGCTCTGCAGAGCTGTGGCACTGCAAAGAGTTGCCAGTGCTAACAAAATGCATATCAAGGAAGTTATTTTGAGTCAGGCAGGAACGGGAGCTGTGATGGGAGCAGGA